CCTCACTTAAATCCAATTCACGTGCAAGTCAAGACATCATCTTCCTGATGTCATTGGTCCTCTTCGAGAACGAAGGGCAAATAACAACAAGCTGTGGACCCACAGATTTGGAGAGCTTTCTGGAGAGATCTCTGTGCAAGGTGGAGGCTGCCCTCTAGGTGCTACATTATTATTATTGTGGTTATCATGGTAATTATGAATAAAGTATAACAATTGATATATTATTTATATATCACCTATATAATTATACATAATTATTTATACATAATAGATATATTATTCACTATATATTCATTTCATGTATTATTAGTGCATTATTCTGTCATCTCGTATTATTATTATTATTATATTCATGCATTATTAGTGCTGGCCTGGGCTCAGCTCAACCCATCCTCACAAAGCTACTCTTCCCTCCCTCGAACCCTGAGGCTCCAGACATAACCCTGAGGAGTTAGACAGGTTGTCTCCAATATCAGTCACCAGTTAATACCTTGCCAATATCAATAAAGCCATCAATTCCCTTTTACAAAGAGATATTGATCAAGGGAATGAGATAGCAAAAAACCACTGTACATAAACCATTCAGAACCCAGGGCAAGCTCAGCTCTACCTCCTCAGTCCCTGGGGAGAGTGAGTTGAAACTTAAAGGGGTTCAGACAAACCCCTTCCCCACCCCAGGTTCGCTTCTGAGTGTAGTGCCCTCTTGCTTGCAGGACTGGAGTCTGCTCCTAGGTCAGAGAGAGCGGATCCAGAAGGAAAACAGCGCAGTTTAGCTGCAACTGGAACCAAGAGACAGCATGGTCTAGTGGAGAGAGAGCCAGCTTCCAAGCCAGGAAAATCCGGCTCGCTCTCTGAATGCACATACATAGAAGGAAGGAAATAAGCATTTATTAAGCGCCTACTATGTGCCAGGCACTGCGCTAAGCGCTTTACAAATATTATTTCATTTGATGCTCACAACCCTGGGAGGCAGGTGCTATTATTATCTCCATTTTATAATTGAGGAAATTGAGGCAGAGAGTGATTAGGGTGCATTTGTGGTCGATGTCCAGATTAAGAGTATGACCATCTATATCTGTGTGTAGCAGAGATGGAGGTCATGGGAAATGAATAGATCAAGGAATTGGAAGGTTAGGGTGTTTGAGGGAGTATCACTGTGTATGTCTAAGTCCCCTAGTATTATGATGGCAGGAGTTAGGGAGGAAACTGAGCCAAGTACTGAACTCATTGAGGAAGGAAGGGGAGTGTGTGTGTATGTGTGGGGGGGGGGGGTGCAGGAGAAGAAGAGAAGGGAATCCTACCAGGTAAGTGTCATTATTATCCCCATTTGTGGACAGGGGCTGGCCCTGGTCAGGAAAACCTGAGTTCCAATCCAGCCTCAGATACTCACTAACCATTTGAACCTGGGCAAGTCACCAAATTGCTGTCTGCCTCTGTTTCCTCAACTGTGAAATGGAGAAGATCAAATGAGATATTGTAAAGCCCTTAGTACAATGCCTGGCCCACAAATAAATGTTTGTTCCCTTCCCCTTGGGCCCAAAGAGAAGAGACCTGGAATCAAAGGGTCTTCAGCCTAGCCCAGATCTCTCATTTTACAGATGAGGAAACCGAATATTCCTTGCCCAAGCTCACACAGCTAGCAGGAAGCAGAGCTGGGATTTGAATTCAGCTTCTCTGCCTCCAGACTGAGCACTCCACCAAACCAAGCTAGATCTTCCCGACCCGACTCTGAATGATCCAGGAGTCACAAATAGCAATGCTTACTTTCCTTTCTTGGGTGTGAGTGTCTCCTGCCCCCAACTGGCTTCTTGAATTTGTAATTCATACTGCTTAGGGAATGGTGATTCTTCCGCCAAGTTACACAGATGTATTTGCATAATTGCCAAGGTCATTATTCTAATTTCTCTAGTAAAATGCTTAGGTGCGGCTTTGAAGTCAGCCTGGGACATTTTAAAGTCTAGCAATCTGACTGCCAGGTCAGTATCTCTCCAGTAACTCCAGATATCTCAGAATGCTTGTGCCAGAAGAGACTTTAGGAGGTGTGGGATCCATTCTTGTTGGAGAGGAGGAAACTGAGGAGCGGTGAAAGGGACTGCCTTGCCGGGAGTTCGTGCAGTAAATTCCTAGGAGAACTCAGAGCCTCCAACCTAGCACCCTTTTCCTTCACTCCTCTCCTTTCAGAGCCAAGTCTGATGGGAGGGGAAGAACATTTGCATTTGGCTCCGAGGCTGGTTTGGGTCCTGGTTCCAAGGTCTCAGACTTGTTGATCTGGAGAATTACAGTACTTTTTTTTTTTTTTAAAGAGGGGATTAAGAAACTTAGAGCTGTGATTAACACCCAGGGAATCTGCCTTCTTGGGGTGTTGCAATCACAATCGCAGCCCAATGGGGAGTATGTTTGCAGAAGGCTCGCAAAGGTTTCTGCTCCTAGCTGGAAGTTTTCTTGGACGTTGGGGATCTTGGGGGACAGGAGGTACCAGTCCCTGGGATCCAGGCTCTCTTCCAGCATTATCCCCTCCAACCTCACCACCCCCTATATACACACTACAGGGTTTCCTGCCCCTGGGCAGCCCGAAGCAGAGTGCTTTACTTTCAGGAGATTTGCAATTAGCCTGATGAAATGCTGGGCTACAAGTCTGAGCTTGGCCATCCCAGTGGGAGAGGGGCCCCATTGGTCTGGGTTGACAACTGGAGGGAAATCGGGAGGGGAAGAAAGGAAGGAGGGAGCGGAAGGGAGGAGAGAAAGGAGAGGAGAGGAAAAGGAAAGGCCAGGAACAAGAGAAGGGAGGGGGAAGAAAGAAAGGAAGAAGAGATAAGAGAATGGGAGAGAGGGGAGGGAGGGGGGAAAGCAAGAGAGAGGAAGGAAAAGGGAGGGGGGGGAAGGGAAGGGAGGGAGGGGACAGAGAGGAGAGGGAGGAACATTATTGGGTTTCTATTATCGTCCAAATGCAGACCACTCCTCATCTACATATCCAGCCCCTGGGATCTCTCCCAGGCTCCAATCCCCCAACATCAATTATTTCCAATTGGATTTGGGGTATTTCACACTCGGGAGTCCAGAGCTGAACTCATTATCTCTCCCCTTCTCTCCTCCTAACTTTCCTATGTTTGTCTAGGGCACCACTATCCTCCCAGCTACCCAGATTCACTCTTTACCTCCCTCACTTTCCACATCCAATCAGTTGTTCAGGCCTGTTGTTTCTCCCTCATGTCTTTCATCCATCCTTTTCTCTCCACCCACTCAGCCGCCACTTCAGTTCAGGCCTTCTTCACCCCTTGACTCGACTCCTGCAATAGCCTTCTGACTGGTTCCCTACCTCTAATCTGTCCACATGGCTGCCAACATGACTTTCCCAAAACAATGGGGTCACCATGGGACCCCCCTATGCAGTCCAGAAGCTCCCTACACTTTCTCTCACCTCTACTATGAAATACAAACTCATCCATTTGGCATTTAAAACTCCCCACTATTTATTTGGCTGTAACGAAATCTTTCTAGGTCTATGATACACCAGTCCTTTTCAGTCAGTTCTCCCCAATAAGACCTAACTGGCCTCTGCTGTTCAGCTCCTCACCCACAACATTCCGTTCTGTGTCCTCACTTTTGCATTGGCTGCCCCTTGATACACTAGCTTGGATCGCCCTCCCTCCTCACCTGTGCCTCTCAGAATCCCCTAGTTTCCTTCAAAGCCTAATTCAAGTACCTCTTACTTGAAAGCCTTCTCACCCCGCCCCCCTTCCCTTAGGGCTTCCTCCTCAAAAACAAGCTTAAACTTCAGTGGCTTCAAACTGCACTGAGACTTTTGGGACACCCTGGGTTTATTTTGTATATGCTTATATGGGCACAAGTTGACTTTCCCCTATAAAATTTGATTTCTCTGAAGGCAGGGGCTGTTTGTTTTCTGTCTTAGATTCTCAGCATTACTAAATGCTTGTTGATTAGGGGAAAAGAAGATACGGGGAGGACAGGAAAAGAGGGAGAAGTGGGGGAGGAAGGAAGAAGCAAGGAGAGAGAAAAGGGGGAAGTAAGGAAAGGGGGAAAGGGGAAAGAGGAAAGGGAGGAGAGAGGAGAGAGGTAGCGAAGAAAGAAGAGGGGAATTAGAAGGGGGGAAAGAGGAAGACAAAGAGTGGAAGAGAGAAGTGAGGAGCCTGCCTACAGCGCCAAGGCCAGGGCTCATAGCCCCAGCAACAGCTAATGAGTTTCCTTGTGCCAGAAGAATCACAATTCAAGGTGGAGACAAATGGCAGAGGTGTGTGTGACTCTGTTTGTGTGTGTGTGTGTGTGTGTGTGTGTGTGTGTGTGTTTAATAACAGCTCATATCTCTATAGGGCAAGAAGGGTCACAGAACACTTCACCACCACCAGGCCACGATGTGGCGAGTACAACGGTTCTTGCAGATGAAGAAACAGGCTCTGGAGGGAGATGAAAGAAGTGCCCACGGAGTAAGTAAGCCGCAGGGCCGGGACTGGAACCCAAGCCACCCGTCTCCCAGGCGGGCCCACCAGCTGGGAGCAGGTGCCAATAATGACTTACACAACCGAAAGGGCAGAAAAGAAGCCCTCAGGATGTGCAGAATTTGGGAAAAGACAGAAAAGGGACAGGCACCTCCACTGAGTCAGCCAGTGGAGGAGGAGGGGGGAGGGGGGAGGAGGAAGAGGAGGAAGAGGAGGGAGGTACTCGAGGAGGGCCGGACCTCACCAGTGTTTCTATCCCGAGGGCTGGCTCGGGGCCAAACGGAGCCGGGCTCAGGCCAGGACACTGCTGCCCCTGAGCCGAGCCGCCCCAAGGCCAAGCTGGTCAGGCCCCGGCCCTTCCCCCACCTCCTGGCCCCCTCCCCCTCCCCCCGCAGCCCTTTGTCATCCCCAGCCCACCTTCCGGCAATTGTGACCTGAAGGGGCGGCCCCCAAGACGGCAGCCGCACTAGGAAACGGGCGTGCTAGGCAACCATCCTGGCCCCGCCCCGTCCCAACCCCCAGTACAGTTGGCCCAACCGCCCAGCAAGCAGCCGGCTCCTTCTCTGCCCCCGGCTCGGACCCGGCTCCAGCCCTGGCTCTGGCCTTGGCCACTCCAGCGCTCATCCCAGTGCCGCGCCTCCGATGAATGGGGCTCTCCTGGCGTCCCCATCTCGCCGGAGCTCTCACAGTCTCCAGACTCTCGGCTCGCGGGGCTGCCCAGCGCTCCTCGGCCCCTTCAGGGAGTTCTCGGACCTCGACCGTCAGGTCTTCGAGGAAGGAGCCACGGGGGGGAGAAACGTCTTCCCGTCATCCGGCCGCAGGCCCTAACGAGTCCTCCAGAGCCCGAAGTCAACGCTCCGACGGACGCAGAGACAGAGATCAAGAGAGAGGCCGGGAAAGAGACCGTGACCGTGACCGCGAGCGCGAGCGCGAGCGAGACCGACACCGTGACCGAATCCGAGACGAAGACTGGGAAAGAGAACGTGAGCGAGACAGAGACGGAGAGCGAGATCGTGACCGAGACCGAGGCCGAGAGTTAGGAACCGGAGACCGAGAACGCTCCGAGGCTGGAGCAAGTCATCGCCAGAGGTAACGATTCCCGCCCCCTCCAGTCCCGTCCCACCTCCCCCTGGGTTCCCGGGGCCCGGCTGTGGTGGGGCTGGGGCGGGGAGGATGGCCCCTTCGCCCTGCTCGGGGGCAGGGGGGTGGTTGGTGGGACTGCAGGGGTGTGTGTCTGAGGAAGATAGGGAACTCCCCCTTACAGAGGCTTCTGGCTCGGGCTGGACGGCAGGCTGTTGGATAGGTTATGGAGGGAGATTCCTGTTCAAAGACGGGGCGGACTAGGTGACACCAACGTCCCTCCCAGCTCAGACATTCTCTGAGATAATGTACTTGGGTCAGAGAGCTGTCTCCCAGTCCCTGGAGGCTACTCAGCGGAGTCTTGTCTAGGGGCTTTCCTCTCGGGTACTGCTGGGATTGCATAGCCTCCTGGGTCCCTTCCCTGGCCCTGGAAGGTTTCATCCCACCCCCTACCCCCGTCGCCCCAGCTCTCCCTCCAAGATACCCCTTTTGCCAATGGCTAGAGCTTTCCCTCGGGAAGCCAAAATGAATTTGACACTTCAGGGCAAAGCCTACTTTTTTTTTTGTCTGGGGTAAGGGGCAAGAACTTCGGGCGGGAGAGGCGGGGGACGGGAGGGTAAGAGCGAGGATAAGAAGACTGTCAGTCGCCACAGCCCGATAGGGTGGGGTGGGGGTTGTTAGTCGGCGGGCCAGCAAGCGGCTGCACGTGGAGAGTAGGTGAGTAGATGGTAAGTAGGAGTGTACAGTGGGAGCAAACGGTGAGTACAGAACTAGTAGGAGGGGTGTCGAGTAGCCCAGGTGGGAGCAGCCGTCCAGGAAAACTAGTGAGACTTGGCGTGCCTGTCGATTTGGGCTGGGCCAGAGAGACTTTGGGTCAGCGGGGCTGCTGTCTGGTCCTCTGCAGGAAGGACTTTTAGGGCATTTCGAGGCTCTCCCCCCAGAACCCGAAGAGAGGCCAGGTGTTCCCCCAAATATACATGGGAACGGTGGGAGCGGGAGCTTCGGAGAGATGTTGGGACATCCTCCGGCCTTCGAGCTAGGTTAAAGCCCCCTGATTTGGGGCCTTACTGTTTGGCCAAGGGGACAGGATGTTGGAGGCAGCGGAAAAATAGGATTTTTCCAGCCTGCAGTAGTGCCGGTCAGTTCCCACTCCTCCCCCCTCCCCATGATTTCTTCACCCCCCCATCCCCCCCACTGTGATTCCCTGCCCCCCACTGTGATCTCCCCCATAGTTGGAAAGGCTAGGTTTGACGTCTGAGGACCCTTGGTTCACCCTTCTGGGCTATGCAGGGCTTTGTTACAACAGTCCTTTGCTGTTACTTTGTGACCTCAGGCACATCCGGGCCAATCTCTGGGCTGCCACCCTTTTCCCCTCCAAGAGGAGTGAAGTTGAACTCAAAGGTCCCTGCCTTCTAAAGTTAATTCCAGCTTTGCTATGTTCTGTTCCCAATGTCCTTCTGACTCTAATGGTCTGGGTTCTGAAGCCCTCTGCCTGCTCCCCTACATTTTAGGACCAAAGAAGGGCTTAATGGCATTAGGGTTTTGATTTTTACCTCTCTGGGAGAGGGTTGAGTCAATTAGGAGACCCAGACCCCAAAAGGTCTCAAAGCTTCGGGGCTTCTGTGAAGACACAGGCCTGTGGGTGAGGCCACAAAATTGGGGAAAGGCATCTGGCCTCCTCGGTCTCCGTGGGGAAATCCTGTCCTGAAGGGGTGTTACCTCATTCCTGGATTAAGGAACGGATCCCTCTTTGGACTTCTCCCAAGGCCTTTCCTTCCAGGCAACCTGGTGGCAACACAGACCTCTGATGTCAGATTGACTCCCAGTCCAGGTTTCAATAGAAATCGAGATTTCTGAACTACCACTGGGCCCCACAGGCCAAAGCAAGTTGGGTGGGAAGAGCACAGACTTTAGAGTCCCAACACTTGGGTTTGGCTCACCCGATGCTACATCTAGGATAGAGTGCTGGAAGGGACCCCAAAGGCCTGCTAGTCCAGACTTCTCATTTTATAGAAAGGGAAATTGAGTCCCAGGGAGGGGAAGGGCCTTTTAAAAGGTCCTATTTAGGATCATAGATCTAGGCCTGCTAGTCCTACCTCTTCATCTTATTGAGAGGGAGACCGAGGCCAGGAAGGGAAATGATTTGTCCAGGGTCACAGAGGTAGGTGGAATTTAAACCCAGCCCCTCTGACTCCAGAGCCACTAGTACTATGTGGCTTCCATCCTAGGCCTCATTTACTAGTTGTATGACCATGGAGAACATTTTATGGGCAGTTTATTCAGTTTACTCAGTAAACTTTAAATTTTTCCTGGAGAAATGGGATCTATTTTGATGGTGTTGTAAGCATTTGTTGTTCACACTTTACAGATGTAGAAATTATGGTTCAGGAGAGGGGAGTGACTTGTCCAGGGTCCCACAGTCAATAACTGGCCGAACCCCACCCTATCCCAGGGCTCTAAAGAACCTTGGCCAAGGTGTTGTTGGATGGCAACTCTTGAGAGTCCCGTTCTGATTAGAGACCTATTAAGTCCTGGGTAACTGGGTTGGCTGACCTACTTTTTGAACCACCTTAACTGTTTCAATCAAGGCTTTGAGAAATGCCAGTCCCTCCCTCTCTGGGGACAAGAGTGGCTCTGGATTGAGAGCTTCCTGGTGGTTCCTAATTTCTTGGGGCAGGAATGTTGGAGTAGTTGACAGTAGCTGCCACTCCCAGTGGGGTTCTCGAGGAGACTGAGACTCCTTGAACTATACTTAAAGGATCCTAGATCTACAGCTGGAGGGCCGTCTAAGCTGATCTCATTTTACAGAGGAAGAAACTGAGGCCCAGGGAAGGGCCAGTATTTCCCCAACACACGCATATAAGGTCATATATCCAGAGTTCATCATTCCATTTCCAATCTCTTGTAGTGCCCAGCACACAGTTAGTACTTAATAAATGCTCCATGCCTTGGTTGGGGCTGTTCCTCATGCTTGAAGTATATGAGAGTAACCCAAGCCCTTCACCATCTCCACCATCTTCACCATCTCCCCATCCCCCTCAGCAGGCCTGTCTGAGGTAGAATGCACAAATGCTATTTGTCATCCCACACTTTCAGGACTGACGCTATTTGTGAGAATGAAGCCAAACCCTCATCTCTGCCACTAATTAGCAGTGTGACCTTGGGCAAGTCACATCTTCTTTTTGAGTCTCAGTTTTCCCTTCTCTGGAAACTGAGGCTCCAGTAGTCTGGCCACTTGGTGATAAATTCTTGGCCACAGTAACCAGAGAAAGAAGAAAAAATGCAACCCAGTCCTCAGTCAATTCACAAACGTTTATTAAGCGCCTACTGTGTGGGCCAGGCACTGTTGGGTGCTGGGGATACACAGCCAAAAGTGTGCTCTCAAAGAGCTGACATTAGAATGGGAGGAGAGGGAAATCATGGGTACCAATATAAGTGGAAACCTTGTAATTAGGACATTTTTTGTGACTCTATTCCCACCCCCTTGGGAGCGATGGAAAGCCTTCTAGGAGATGGCAGTTGGACTGAGCTTTGAAAGAAGCTAGACATTCTAAAAGACAGGAGAGAGTGAGGAACACATCGGGGCCAGCCGGTGCAAATGCTGAGGGGTAGCAAGCAGGCTGCTTTGGCTGGGTCCTAACTGGGGAGAGAAGGGGTGTCATATGTAATAGGCCTGCAAAAGTGGCCTGGAGCCAGATTGGGAAGGATTTTAAATGTCAAACACAAGAGATTGAACTGGTAGGGAGCAATTGACATTTCTTGAGCAAAATGGGGACCTAACGTTTTCTTAAGATGGGTGTATGTGCTTCTAGCAGTGTGTGGAGTAGAAGGTGGTTTTGGGGAACAGGAGAGCTAGTGATTTCCTCCTGGCTGGACTCCACCCTCTTGTGGGTGGGGCCCCAGGCTCCCAACTCCTCCCTTCAGGTGGAACTCCAGCCCTCCCCCCTCTCCCTCACTTCTACTGGCTTTAGTTGTGCCTCAGTTTCTTTTCCCCTCAATGCACTTATTCTTTCTCTGCTTTGAGGAACTTTAGTTACTAAACATTAAGCAATAAAATCTCTTTTTTATCTAGTTCTAAGACACACCCCTCCCTTTGTTGGGAATGTGCTCAGCAATTAGGAAAATGTCTCTCTCCCCCTCTTTCCCATTCCCTCTCCTCCACCCCACCCCCAGCTCTGTGTCTCTCTCTCTCTCCTCTTTCTCTAATCTCTCTCTCACTCTCCCTCCCTCCTTCTCCCTCCCTGTTTCTGTCTCTGTCTTGTCTCTCTCCCTCCCTTCTTCCCCTTTTCCTCCTTCCTCCAGCCCCCTTCCTCTTTTTCCCTCCCTTTTCTCTCCCTCTCTCTTTTCCTCTCTCTCCTCTCTTTTCCTCTTCTCTCTCTCTGTCTCTCTCTCCCTCCCTTCCTCTCTCCTTCCTTCCTCCTCTCCTCTCCTCTCTCTCTCTGTCACACACACACACACACACACACACACACACACACACACACACTCTGCTTCCCATTCGTCCCTCCCCCTTAGCACTATTTGGTACCTCCCCCAAAAAAGGTATACACACAAATCTATACAGTAATAATGACCATGTGGTTTTAGAGAGACCAGTTCTTTTAAAAGAAGTGACAAAATAGAATGCAGACTCTAAATGAAGGAGGACTGGTGGAACATTCATTTTCCCCGGGGTGGGGGGGGCAGGGAGGGGAGTGCAGATGGAATTATGAGATTCCTTTGGGTTCCATCATCCCTTGGATAACTCCTCACTGAGGCTGGCTGCTCTAGCCCCATCACCCAGTCAGGTGCTATGCAAGACAGCAGTCTCTTGTGTCCTCACATCCCCTAGGATGATGGCTGAAGACTCTTGGGGCCAGGGATGGGGAAGGGGGCTTCTACTTCTCTGACTGAGTGGCTTTGCTCTCCTCTCCTGTATTTTGGTCCTGAAGCTTTTCTTTACCGCACCTAACCTCCTTTCCTCAACAGACTTGATCATGCATCCTGGCCAGGAGGGTGACCATTCACTG